AGGCTGGATTTGAACTCAGGAAGATGGGTCTTCCAGATTTCAGGCCTGGTGCTCTATCCCCTGCAATTCTTAATGCAGTTCTCTGTATTCCAAATCATCCCACACATTGACTGACTCCAATACTTCCAGGCTCCATAATTTCACCAATGTAAATAGACCCAGACATTAGCTCTCCATGCTTTACTGGGTGGTCTTTATGTACTGCAATAAGAGCAAAAAACATTCATCCCCTCCTCGCTAATGTTCTGGTGATGATGCTTTCCAAAGATAAAGAGTCTGGTCCTCAGTCACAGACACATGATGCAATTTAGGGATGCAGGGACCCCAAAATACCAAGATTTAGGGTGGAGCTGTCTGGAAAGGATTCACAGACTCAAGCAGTCTTCCAGTCAAGTGGCAAAAAAGTTTATTATAGCCCTAATAAAGCAGGCAGAGCTCCTTAGGGAGCTGGAAACCTAATGGGGGGTGATGCTAAAGCTTATATAGAAAAAGTTCAGTGAATGGTGTGCCAATTATGCTGATTAGGTGGCGAGCTTACAGTTTCTGTACTTTGGGCTCAGGTGTTATTCACTACTGGAAACCCAGAAGGGAGGGAGTTCTAAGGGGAGTGTTTTTGATCTGCTACATCTGTAACAAGATAGCCTGGGGAGTTGACATCTATAGCTTGATCTCTGGCTTGTATCAGTAACTGAGGGAATCAGTACATGATAGTTCTGCTGGTACAAGATAGCCCTGTTCATACAAGGGAAATTCTACAGAGGTCAGCTTGTTCTTGTAACAGAGAGAGATAATAGTTTGCCTCCCTGGGGCCCACTCATGAGTTATTGCCAGAGACACGCTGTGGGCTGGGGTGAGATACGGTCCTAGGACAGGGGTCTGAGCACTCCATCTCACAGTTGCTTGGGAGCAACCTGCCAGAGTTTACACAGTCATGGCATAGCTTCCAAGAACCCAGGTCCCCCTCCATGCTACCACAGGGAATGAGGAGGGCTTTAGGCACAGGAACAGCAAATGAATCTTCCAAGGAACAAAGTTCTGATGTCACTTCTGAGAAGCAGTCACAGTTATAAGGAATGGCAAGAATCTTGGTTGCAAAGTCATGAGACCTGAACTCAAATTTCAGTTTTCTTTACAAAATTCACTAAGCACCTATTAAGTACGTACTAATGCATAGAGCACTGTGCTAGGCTGGAGATATAAAAGCAAATCACTTCCTCCCTCTGTGCCTTACTTTCCTCATCTACAAAATGAGGGAGTTGAACTAAAGCCCCTTCCATCCCTAAATCCCATAATCCCTGTTGGAGAACCTATAATACCTTTCTATTGCATTGTCTACCCTCTCCTTGCTGACTTTCAAGACTCGTGACTATCTTGCCTCAGCTCTATCTCTTACAGCTTCTTGTATTTTCTTACATCTCTTATATCTTCAGTATGTTCCTTTCAATCTAGACAAGCTGGTCTGCTCACTGTTGTGGGGGAACTATCTGACCCAATTTCTCCACCCTACCACCTCCATTCTTCCCCCCAGGACAGAATCCTGCACAATGCTGCCTTTCTCTGTATCTCACTACTCATAACTGCAGCAATCCCGTTATTAGATAGAAATATCTCTCACTCTTTCCTTTTTTTCATTTCATGTATCTATGCATGTGTGTATTATGTTCATTTGTATATAGATATGCACACATATACATTTGTGTATACACACGACACACATGTATACATTTATTCATACATATATACATGTGCACAACACATGTGTACGTTTGTGTTTATATTAATATATTCATTCATATATAATATATATGAAAAATTAATGAAAGAGAAAGAGAAAGATTAAGAGATCTCGCTTTCTAATAAAGGAATTGCTGGAATTAAGAGTAATGAGGCAGCTAGGTGGTGCAGTGGATAGAGCACTGGCCCTGGAGTCAGGAGGATCTGAGTTCAAATCCAGCCTTGGACACTTGACACTAGCTGTGTGACAAATGCAGAGAACAGTAGTATTGTAGCGTGAGTCCCTCTAAGAGAGGAGCGGAGGTAGCAGAGTGCAAAAACTGAGTCAGATTGGTTCCCCACAACAGCAAACAGATTGAGAGGAGTAAACTGGACAGTACTAAGTGATTAGGCTAAAGCCAGGTAATCTCACAGGTGTGAAAGAGCACACAAAAACTGAAACAACTGAACAACAAAAAAGGAAGCCAGGGAAGCCAGTACACAGAGATGAGGAAGGAGATTCTTCCAGGCATGGGGGATGGCCAGAGAAAATATCTGGAGCCAAGAGATGGAAGGTCTTGTTCATGGAAAAGCCAGGAGGCCAGTGACACTGGATTAACAAATTTGTATTGGGCAGTAAGGTATAAGAAGACTGAAAGTTGGAGGAGGTGGGGGAGGGGTGGCTAGGGTTTTGAAGGGCTTTAGATACCAAACGTTGGATTTTGTATTGCTTCTGGAGGTGATCACTGGGGTTTATTGAGTGGGGGTGGGGGAGGGAGAGGGGTGGAGACATGATTAGATCTGCACTTCAGAAAAATCACTTTAATGGTAAATGGAGGCTAGATTGAAGTTGGTGAGTAAAGACTAGAGGCAGGTAGATCCACCAGCTGATTATTGCAATAGATCAGGCATGAGGTGATGATGGCCTGTACCGGGGTTGTGGCAATATCAGCCAAGAGAAGGGAGTGCATTCTACAGATGTTGTAAAGGTGAGATCAACAGGCCTTGTCAACAGATTGGATATGAAGTGAGGTGGGGTGGGGTGGGGAGGAAATTAAAAGGAATTGCATTACAAGGACTAGGAGGGTGGTGCTGCCCTCTACAATAATAGGAAGTTAGGAGGAGGGGGAGGGTTGAGGAGGAAAGATAAAGAGTTCAGTTTTGGACATGAGTCTAAGATATCTACTGGACATCCAGTTGAGATGTTTGAAAGGCAACTAGTTTTGAGACTGGAGGTCAAGCAAAGAGTTTGGGGCAGGATAGATTTGAGAATCACCAGCATAAAGATGGTAATTAAATCCTTGGGAGTGGATGAGATTACCAAGTGAAGTACTAGTTTAGAGAAGAGAAGAGGGCCCAGGACTGAACCCTGAGGGACATCTACAGTTAGAGGGTGTGATCTACAGGAGTCCGGTAAAGGAGACTAAGGAATGTTCTGATAGGTAGGAGAACAAGCAGAGTGGCATTCTGAAAATCTGAAGTATCAAGGAAAAGAGGGTGATCTACAGCACCAAAGACTACAGAGAGGTCAAGAAGGAGAATTAAGAAAAGACCATTCAGTGTGGTCCATGGTTTCGTGCAGGGCCTGAGATCCTTCCAGGGTACCTCCATGAGGTCAAAACAATTTTCATGATATTAAGATGTTATTGGCTATTAAAATACTCTTTCCTTTTCCAACCACCTGTCTGTGAGGCTAGATTTTTTTTCACATACTTCAATCAGGATAACATATCACAACAGATTGAGTGCAGAAGCAGACATGAGAATCCAGCTGTCTTCTATTAATCCAGACATTAAAGAGATTTGCAGAACAATACCGCTGTTCTCAATAAATCTCGTTTTGGTAAATATAGCTGTATTTCACTTAAAAATGTCATTTATGTTAACATGCAATGGATTTATTACTGTTTTAAAGGAATTAATATTTTAAAATTTTATCAGTTTTAATATGGTAAATATAAAAAGATATAATCTACACAAATAAAAGCTCTTAGGGAGGGGGGTGGCTCCTCAATAATTTTTAAGAGGGTCCAGGGGTCTTGAGACCAAAAAGTAGGAGAATTTCTGGGATCTCTAAGGTTTCTTTTATCTCTAAATCTTATCTCTCTATAAAATGTACAGGATTTCAGTCATATTATGGGTATGATAGTTTTTTGTAGGGTTGCCCATGACCTTAACCATATCAATGTAAAGGGGGAAAGCTAAACTGTCTTTTTTTTCAAAGGTATCTCTTATATTACTTTCATTTCCAAATAGATCCTTTCCTCAACCTCTCTTACCCAGAGAACCATCCTCTATAACAAAGAACAGGGGCGGGGGGGGGGGGGGGGGGGGGGGAAGCAGTTCAGAAAAAAATACCAAAAACAAATTTTCCACTCTCTTAATCCCCTACCTCCACAAAGAATGTGTTGTTTTTCTCACCTTTTTTTGGGGGGGGGATGGGGGAAGGGTGTCAAGCTTGGTCAGTTTTTGTCATTGTTCCCTCCATTCTTTCCCTTTACATTGTTATAACTGTATATATCATTTTCCTGGTTCTGTTGACTTCACTCTGCATTAGTTCATGCCTTCCCAAGCTTCTCCATATTCTTTATACTTGTTATAACCTTATAACTCAGTAACATCCCATTACATTCATGTACCATGATTTGCTTAGCCATAGTTCATTCAACAGACATATACTTTGTTCTTTGCTACCACATAAGTTGATACTGTTTTGGTGTGTACTGGGCCTTTCTTTTTTACCTTTGACATGATTTGGGAGACATACACACCAGCATTGAGATCTCTAGGTTAAACGGCATGGCTATCCTTCCTCAGCATAATTCCAAACAGCTTTGAGGAGTGATTGTACCAATTTACAGCTCTACCTAACAGTGCACGAACGTGTCTGTCTTTCCACAGCCCTTAAAGCTTTTGACTATTTCTTTTGTCATCTTTGCCCATTTGCAGAGTATGAGGTGGAACCTGAGAATTGTTTCAATGTTCATTTCAGTTATTATTAGTACTATTAGTATTTGGAACATTCTTTCATATGGTTAAAAAAAATGACATTCTAAATAAATGAACATTTCGAATGCAGATTGTTCATAAATCTGGGCTTGCCTGGTTTTCAGTAGCCATACCAGTGCCTAAGCATAAGGGTGCATATGATACACACACACACACACACACACACACACACACACACACACACACACACACTCAGACCCAAGGGTATAAACATGGACATGTGCACTCATTCACACCCTCAATCTTTTCACACTCTCCACAGAGCATCAGAGCCACACTTAGCTAGAAAGTCCTGGACTTTATTTCAATACACTAAGGAGGGACTATAGCCCACAGGCTAAGGAGCAAAGAGGGTAGTTGTTCTCAGGTTATGTCAGGAGAAGAAGGTGCAGACTGCTTGGGACCAGGCAGGGGAATTTCCAAAGTGACAATAAGTTAAAGGTATGACTCTCAGGATTGTGTCAGGATAGGAACCAGAGGTCAGAGGTGGTCAGCAGTTCCACTGATACTTCCTTTCCCCTATATCCAAGAGACACTGGGCCTCAGGCTGTCAAATAAAAGAAGGCAGGGAGAATGATTTGAACTGAGCAGATAACTCAGAGATTGGGTTGAGAGGGGTTCCTAAGGAGGAGTTGGCTCTGTGGAGAGTGGTTGGATGTATTTGGGGAGGGGGGGAAGAAAGAACGCCATTGGGCTGCCGGGGTGGGGGGAGGGGCAGGGGGGTTAGGGTCCGTCAGGGTCAGAGTTAGGAGGGGGAGGAGAGGGCTTGGGTAATCACTCACTGAAGGAGTGTCCATTTTGTTCCTGTACGTTCTCATAATCGGGCCCCTCTTCCTCACCCTCCTGGTCAGTCACTGGGGCTGCAGGGGAAAGGGATGAACGTGAATCTTGATCCTCAAACTCCCGGTTTGATGACTCCTTTGTACCCTCCCTTCCTCTAGTGCTCTCTCCCCAAGGGGCCAGCCCCAGCTGGGAACTCTTCCCCAGACCCTAAACGCCAGCCTCACTTCTGTTGGAAGGCGTTCTTTCTTCCTGGGCTTCTGGCATGTTCACATATTCACAGCTCCCACCTGGATGGAAGGAAGGAAGGATAGAAAAGGAGCTGCAGTGGGAGGGTGCAGGGGAGGGAGGAGGGAGAAGGAAGAAGAGAGAGTGCAGGGAAAGGAGGAGGGGAGGAAGGAGAGGAAGGAACAAGGAGGGTGTAGGGGAGGGTGGAAAAGAGGGAAGAAGGGGGGAAGAGAGAAATAAAAGGAAGGAGGAGAGGAAGGATTCCTGTTGGTTAGGGAAGGAAAGAGAAAAGGACACGGAGGAGGTAGTAGCATGGGCAGACAGTCACTTACCCAGAGACACCTCTGTACTCTCTAGGACATTCACATAATCCTCTCCCCATACCACTACAGGAAAATGCCCCAGGAGGAAGAAGTTAGAGCCAGGACAACCAGGGACAACCCTCCATATCTGTCACCCATAAATACCCCAACATACATGTACGTATCCTTCCTTACGCAGCCACACAAAAACTCCCCCATCCCTGCACAGTCCAGTTGTCCAGACAATGCCCCTCTCCCCAACCCAGACCTACCCTCCCATCCCAGGGCGCCTGGGGGGAGGCCCCCAATCACTCCCAACTCACTGGAAGATGGACTATCCCTAAGGCCGGGACTGCCCAGGTTAGGTGCTGAGTTGGACAGAGGTGCAGAACTGGAATTCGGGCAGTCATCTGGTAGAACCTCGCTGCCAATGGGAAACAGGATGGTGTGACCACCAAGCCTCTCCCTTCTCAAAGACTCTCTCTTTGAGGTCAACCCTACTACTCACAGATAGCCTTCATTGTGGTAGTCATCTTCTTCATCAGCATCCTCAGGTTCTAGCTCCAGGGGAAACACAGGTGTCAGAGCAGGTGGTCTGGGGAGGCCTGTCCAATCAGGCTCATTCCTTCCTTCCTCCCTCCCCCTGCCTAAGGTCCCAGCCCAACCCCCCACTGCCAGTGGTGATTGATATACCCTCATTCTCGTAGCTGGGCTCACTGCCTGGGAGGGAAAGAGAGAGTCACCATCAGCTCAACCACCCAGCCTGAGCCAGGCTCACTCTCCCACCCACTTCAGACTACAGAACCACCCTCCATAACTAGTTCACTGCCCAACTCACGGGTGTCTGCGTCTCGCCGAGAAGTAATCCGGTGTGACAACCCTGGATGTTGTGGAGACCTCCTAAAGGGTTAAAAATTAGGGGTCACCCCTTGGGGAAGGGAGGGAGCTTCAAGAGCCCAGAGGAATGAGGGGAGTAGCAATGCCTTGGCTCAGGGGAGGCAGGAAGGTAGGAAGACACAAAACTAAGGGCAGTGATGTCGATGTCCCAGGATTCAGAGAAGGCCCGAGGGCAAGAAGGCAGAGGTCACAGACTTCAGGTGAGACTGCTGTGGCTGGGAAAAGAGGGGCCTGAGGTTCAGGGGACACCAGAGAGGAAACCTGAGCAGATACTTACGGGATAGGGAGCAGATCTGGCTGGCAGGATACTGCAGATGGCCACGAAGTATTAGTGTCTGTGGGGTAAAGATTAGAGGTACACAGCATCAGAGGACCTGGGGCAGGAGGAAGGAATCAGGACAGGGCTGAGATTCCCAAGGAGAGGTAGAGGACAGCTTGAGATCCTACCCAGGGTAAGGGCCCTCAATGCCTAAAAGGACATTTTCTTCAAGAAATTCAAAATTCAAGAGGATTGGGGACTGAGGGGTCTCTTAGACGAGTTCATTATTTACTCAACAAACATTAATGAAACGCCTACTGCATCTAGAACATGCAGAATGCTGACCTAAAAAGCACCATGGGAGAAATAAAGTTTAGCAAAGACATGGCCCCATGGTCCTCTCATGGAACCTAGAACCCAGGAAGGGAGAAGACACAAAGCAGACGGCTAGCATTTACAATATTATGTGAGTACATCAGAGAGCTAGCAAAACAATGGGAACAGAGGTCAGATGGAGAAAGTTATTGACTGGGGGGGAGAGGGTTTGCTTCCCAGGTATGGTGGTGGGGGCTTAAAAAAAGATGGGCAGGAATACAGTAGGTAAAGAGAGGAAGGGGGGACATTTCGGGGATAGGGCATATCGTTGGCAAAGACACATAAGGGAAGGTTCTTTTGTTTCTTTCTTTCATTAAAAATATTTTTAATTTTTTAATTTTTTACTTATTTTATATGATAATTAATATTCTTAATATTTTAAAAATAATATTATTACATGCAATCATTTCTGAAAGCCCTTCACATCTACAGCATAGGACCACAGAATTTAAAGCTGTAAAAGAGACCTGAGCTCAAGTTTGGCTTAATTCCCTCACTTTACAGAAAAGGGCCTGTCCAGGGTCCATACAGCTAATAGGTAACACAGGGTAAGCTTTCAAACCCTGTCCTTCCGACTCCAAGTCAAGAGATATTTCCACGTGGTCTCTACAGATGTGGGCCATTTAGTAGTTCTTGTCAAAATCCTCCCTGAAGTACATGAAATTCTCCAGTTCTCCTGGCCTTAGCAAGGAAATCTTCCCCTCCCCTCAATCCACCCAATGGAAACTCAACAGGACACAACAATACCGATAAATTTTTAAAAAAAATACCAGATAAAACAAATATGTCAAAAACCATTGTCGGCAAGAGCACAAAGCACGTGAAGAGTTGTAAAAGTTACAACCTGTCATCTCCCAAATTTCTCAATTCTGTCTGACCTGTAGGGGCCCTATTTCTCCATGTCCCCCTATTCCTTTTCCCAAACCAATAAAGAAGGAGGTACAGGCCACACGTGGGAGGAGTATTGCATGAGTCACTGAAAAGCAATGGCCTCTTGGGACTTGACTTTCTTCAAGACTCAACTCATGTACCCATCTCCCACAAGAAGCCTTTCCTTACCCTCCTGGGTCATTAGTACTCACCTCTCCCTAAATTACTTTGCATTTATTTATCTATGAACATGTAGTGCCCACCTCCTGCCCAGGAGAATGGAAGCTCCTTGTAAGCAAGGACTATCTTTTCTGTCTTTTTATGTCTAACACAGAGGCCTACCACAGAGTTGTTGTTTGTTCTTTGTTCTTGAAGAGGATCATGATGTCAGGAAGATGATGACATGACTTGCAAGTGAACTGGATTTGAGTGAAAGAGGGCTGTGCAAAGTTACCAGACTCACTTTCTCCTCTAGAGCCATCTGGGTCCAGTGGCCAGATACAGATAGATCAGGACAACTGGAGATGGCCCCGGATGCAGTGGAGACCTTGGCCTTTTTAAGCTAAGGTTTTTCTAAGTTATCATTTTGACTAAGGCAATGCCCATTGAGTGAATAAGGCAGGGTAAGAAATGAGCCAAGGAATAGCCCCTTTTACCTAAGGAAAAAAAAATCAATCTGGGAGGGGAAGACTCAGGGTTCCTGACCAAAAGAGAAACAGTTACTATTTACATTCACTCTGAACCATCAGGGCCCAAACAATGACCACTAAGTGGAGCTTTGGGCTGGGACCTATTGGCCAATGAATGAGAGCTAGAGTGAATTTGGTTTAGGGCATTGTCCTTAAGAAAGACATCTAGCCCATAAACCCCAAGATATCTTGTTAGGTTTCAGCAATAAAAATTTATACTCCTTTGGTCAAAGCACCTACAGGTAAGGTTATGATCCCCTATGTGGGAGGGAGAAGGAAGAAGGGAAGGCAAGGGGAAGGGAGGGAGGGAGGGAGGAAGGAAGGAAGGAAGGAAGGAAGGAAGGAAGGAAGGAAGGAAGGAAGAAGGAAGGAAGGAAGGAAAGGAAGGAAGGAAGAAGGAAGGAAGGAAGGAAGGAAAGGAAGGAAGAAAGGAAGGAAGGAAGGAAGGAAGGAAGGAAGGAAGGAAGGAAGGAAGGAAGGAAGGAAGGAAGGAAGGAAGGAAGGAAGGAAGGAAGGAAGGAAGGAAAGGAAAGAAAGAAAGGAAAGGGGAAGGAAGGATCTTCGCTGCCCAACTGGAACTGGCCAGTTGGGTTGGAGCAGCTCAGATTACTCACAAGTTGTTACTTGTCCTTCATTCTTGAAGAGGACCATGACATCAGGGAGGTGATGCCATGACTTGCAAGTGAATTGGATTTAAGTGAGGCAGGGCTGTACAAAGTCACCAGCCTCACTTTCTCTTCCAGAGCCATCTGGGTCCAGTAGAGAGATATAGATCAGGACTACTGGAGGTGGCCCCCACCACGGAGGAGACACTTGATTAAATGCTTATTGAATTGAACTAAATGGTTTGTGATTGGCTAATTCAATTCAACGAATTGAATTCATTAAGCAGTCCACTCTGTGCCAGGTTGGGGTGGGAAGAAATACAAAAACGAAAAATAATCCTTGCCCTCTGGGAGCTATTAGGAGACTGAAGATCCCAGTGCTCTAAGGAGTCTCTTCTTAAAGAGTCTCAGAGCAAAGATTCTTAACATGGGGTCTGTGGATACATTTCAGGGGGTCTGTGAACTCGGATGGAAAAACAGTTACATCTTTATCTTCACTAACCTCTACCTGAAATTGAGCATCTCCTTAGATTATGGATGTAGGCAACAAATTATTGCTCTGGGAAGGGGTCCATATGCTACAACTGAAGGGCCATGGGGCCATGGCACAAAAAAAGCAAAGAACCCCAGCCTTAAAGGGTCACTTTACTTTGGAGTAGGGCTTAGAGAAGGGACAAAGAACTGGGCTCAGCTCTGTGACCTTGGTCAATTTATTCCCTACCTAGGGGGTCCTATCCTCCCATCTCCCAAACTAGTACCTCGGTTTTATTATCTGTAAAATGAGGTCAGACTCGACAATCTCTGAAACATCTTCCAGCTCTAAATTCAACGATGCTGAGGGTCAAAGGCTGTGGCAGACATTCCAAAGGCAGGAGATTGGGAATGAATCCCTAACAAATATAGTACGGACACATAACAAAAGCCGTATCTTTCAAATTCTCACACACTGACACACAGACACATACTCACTCACACACTGACTCTCCCCTAAGACTTCATTCTCTTATTCCTCAAAGCAGTCCCAGGGAAGTATATAGTGTATAGAGACCTCCTGCCATACTCACAGGGGCGTTTGAGGATGACTAATCCACTGCTTGGCTGATATGAGCTGGTGAAAAGAAGGAAGGCATGGGCTGGGGGTGGTAGAAGAGGAGGCCCCATACTTCCATACCCATTTCTAGCCACCGCCCCAACATCCTCTCACCAACCAGCCCCTACTCAGATAACTCCCCTCCTTCCAATACTGGTCCATCACAGCCACTATTTCGGAATGAGGAATAGTCAAAGACACTCACCTGTCACTTGGGGAGACCTCAGAGTTGGGGCCTGTGGGGGAGAGGCAGGTGAGGCTGAAGGGATGGGACAAGAACAGGAGTTCCTTTAAGCTAGGGCAAGGAACAAGGGAGAGGTGACCCCGTAAGAGAACAGTGGATGAATTTGTGAATATGGGAACATAGGACCCCTTGTGCAAGGTGAAGGGATGGTTGGTTTATGGGGTTGACTGGGTCTACAGGGATGAGCTAAAAGTATTTCACTTACCAGGGAAGTCCCGGCAACACAAACACAGGGCAGTGACAAGCAGAGCTGGGAACAGTAGAATGAGGAGCCAGAGGAGGCTAGGGCCCAGAGAGGTGGTCTCCATCTGGGGCATAGGCCAAGGCCCACAGGTTAGGGCAGCCCACAAGGCCAGTCCCAGAAAGCCTTCCAACCATACCCCACCCCCACCTATTCCCCTTCCCACTTGACTAGACAGAGCAAGAATTCTAGACTTGGATCCCAAACTTTCCTCCCAAGATAATGGATGGAGAAAAAGGAAAAGTTAAAAGGTTGGGGGTAGAGAACATTTAAGCCCTCAGCAGGCAATGGTGTCACAAGAGGCCCACGTAAAGGATGGAGGCCAGAAGAGCCCACAGGCTACGGACTTAGGGCACGGGAACCCAGGTATTCAGAGCATGGTGTCAAAGCGAGGCAGTGGGCTCAGTCAGCTGTCTCTCTGTATCAGAGGGGCTCAGGCTGGTACCAAGAAAAGCTGATATAAGCAAATAAAGGCCAAGTAGGAGGCTCTCTCTACCTCTTGAGCACTCATAAAATTAGGGTGGGTATGGAAGACAAGCTTAGGTTTACCATGGTCTCTGCTGAGCCTTACTAGCCTGTTGGGAGCCAGGCAGATTGGCTGGGGGGGTCCTGTTTGGGCATCAGAAACCCCCTCCACTCCCGCCATGTCCCCGTACCTGGTCCCTGGTCCCGACGGTTCTGTTCCCCGATCCCCTCCTCTCCTACACTCAGCGCCTGCCTGCCCGCAGCAGGAAGCTGTGGTGAGCTCCGGGCGGGGACAGGAAGTTATCGTGGCTCCTCGCATGGCTGCGCCCGCCTCCCACCCCCATCCTCGTGCCCCCCAGGGGGAGGGGAGCACCCCAGGTCTCCCCCATTGCTCCAGTCCAGCAATCCTACTTGGGATGGTCTCCTAGGGGCCTTGGTAATCAAGAATTCCCAGCTGTTCTCAAAGGGTCCTTCTGGATGATTAGGGTTAGCACCATAGATTGTCAGGGGCCACATGTTCCCCAAATGGGATCTTGTTCACGCATGAGACAATACATTAATGGAGAGCAGAGAGGATGGGGAGAAAAAAGAGAATGGAACTTTGACCTCTTTCAGACTCAACTTCCATCTTTTATAAAGAGCAGGTTGAACAAAGGATTTCTGACATTCTATCATCCAGGGAGCAGAGGAACAGGATAACTACTATCTTATCATCCCTAATAGCTGGACTGCCTGCCGGCTAGCGAGAGGACGAGCTTCTAAAGGGTCTATTAGGGAAAGACAGTGGGTGAGTCAATGTCACATTGGGCCAACGGAATCACAGACTGCCGGAGCAGGAAGGGCCCTCAAAGCACATACTCTAGACTGCTTGAGCAGGAAGGGCTCCTAAAACAGACTACCTCAAGTTCTAACGCTAACATACAGAGAGCCCTGAGCAAAGACAGAATCTGCCTGCCACCCCACAGGGCTCCTCCCCTTCTCTCTCAAGTCATGGAGCTGGGAAGGAAAAGGACACAAGCTGACACTAGGCTCTGGTTACAAAGTTTATTCAGATAAAAATAGCACCAAACCCTCCTGCCTGGACAGTGGGGGCACCTTGCCCCTGACCCCAGGAAGACGGCTTGGAACCCACCTATAGCCTGACAGGCAGAGGGAAAAGAGATCTTCCCTCCCCAAAGAGACCTGCAGAAAGTCGAGGGCGCCCGCTCCGTGGCCTTCCAACCACCCGCCTCCTCTCTGATCCAGAATCACTCCCTGACCGATATTGCTGTGCATGTAGTGCGTCTATGTGCGCATGTGCTCAGGGAGGGAAAAAGGGACAAACCTCAGCCACTGTCCCAATCCTGTGGTCCCAGGTCAGAGGTCATGGTACCACACCTGGCACAGGGATGGGGTAACAGTCCACGGTGCTGGGTTTATACTCAGAGTCCTGCCCACTGCCCACCTATCCCCCTGAGGGGAACCAGAACACGAGGTGGCCTCAGGCCACAGTCCACCCAATCAGATGAGCACACTGGACACTGGGACCTTGGTAGAACGGCCTCGCTGAGGGACCACGATCTGATCATCTGGAGGGGGCACATCCCTCAGGAGTCCTGGGGAGAGAGAAGAGGTGATGAGATCAGGGGAAGATAAACATCTTGGAGCAGAGCAGAGAGAGAGAGAACAACAGACAGGCACGAGCCTACAGGGAGGGCACAAAGGCACCCCAGTGGAAGGGAGGGCTGGAAAGGGACAAAGGGATAGAAAGACAGATAGGGTTGAGGGAGTTAGGGAGATGGACCATGGACAGAAGCTAGGGGACGGAGAGAGTATGGAAGACAAAGATCTGGGGGAAGGAGAGCTGGGGATGGAGACAAGGGGCCCTGGAACAAGACCTCCAAGAGGGAATGCTCACCTTGCACATGGAGATGGGCTCTCTTTCGATCACCTTCAATGTACATGGCGGTGCCCAGGAAAGCTGCACCCCCAAGCGCCCCAACAAAGGCACAAAGCATGAGGGAAAACTGCAGGGCCCGGAACTGGGAGAGGAAGGAAGGAGGCCAGTCACGGCGGAGACGGTCAGATATCTAGAGGGGAGAAGAGAGAGCAAGCAGTGGTCATAGCCTGGGTCGGGGGAGGCCCAGGGGGCTGAGAAAGGGGAAGGAGGGAGTCAGAGATGAGGGCAGGATGGGGGGAGGGCGGAGAGAAACACCGAGGGAGACAGGGGAAGGGACAGGCAGTCAGACTGAGGAGCAGGAGGGAGACAGAGTCAGGCGGGGAAGGGACACAGAGTCCAAGATCTGCCAGATTATCCGCACTGTTTGCACCTCACTATCCTGCATCTATTCAAATGCTGCCTTGAAGTGTTCTCTAGGTTGATGTTTGTCTTGTCTCCCTACAAAAGCTCCAGATCCAGGACCGAGCTGTCTTCTCCCTCTGAATCAGAGAGTTAGAATTCGGAAAGGGCATCAGCAACCGTGCAGAGAAGACCTGAACACCCTAGATTACACAACCCCATCTGAAAACTTTCCTAACGAGTAGTCATCTAGCTTTCACCCAAAGAAGCCCAAGGATGAGTAGCTCACTGCCTTACAAAGCAGCCCATTCCATTTTCTGAAAGCTTTTTCTTTCACCAAGCCAAAAATGTGCCTCCCCGAGGTAAGAAGAGCAAGCGTAATCTCCCTTCCACAGGACAGCTCTTCATCCCTCAGAGGACAGTGATGGATACGCCAGTGGCTGGTGAAATCAGACTGACCCTCCTGGCTGACAAAGAATCTCTCTCTCTTTCCCCTCGCCCCATCCTCACTGCTTCCTAACTGCCCTGGGCCAGGATGACCCGGCCAGGGCTAAAGCCTCCCAAAAGAAGATTAACACTCACCAGCCCAATGAGGTAGGGGCTCCCAGCATCTCCCAACAGATGGGACAGGACAATCTGGAAGGCCTCTGCTGTTGACCGGCGTGTGGGAATAACCACATACTAGGTAGGGAATTGAGACCCAAAGTTAGATTCCCCAAGAGGTCAGGAGAGCTGAGTAGAAAGGCCAGGATAGAGGGGGCTAAGCTTGGAATTCCATCAACATTTTCTGAATTAAGCTGCTCAGCTCAAACTACATGGAGGGAGACCGAAGAGAAAGGCAGCTCTCCTTACATGACCAGTGAAATTCCTGACTCACCAGGAGCTTTGAGTTCTGGGTCATGGGTCACTTTCTTACAACAGGACAGAACAAAGCCACGAACCCAGGGGAACAAAAGCCTCCCCGGGACCTCACAGCCAAAATGCCAATCACTAGGACAGTCACCACCCGTGTCAGGTCGGAGATGGCCCACCCTCTCACCAGCAGAATGTCTGCCACAATGGCCCAGTTCATGGACAGCAGAATCTCTCCAATGAAGATGAAAACCTGAGGACAAAAACTGGGCATCAGGGAACAGATGAGCAGCTCTCTGACTTTCCCTCTACTTCTTCTTGAGCCATGTAGGGAGGTGTGGGATTGAAGCTGGGGACCATGAGTTTTGCTTCCCCCTTCCCTCCCCCACCGCTCCCCGCTCCCAGTCCGAGCTCAGGGCTGCTGCTGGGAGGGCTGTGCTTGTGCTCTAATGTGTTGGGGGTTGGTGACATCTGGAAATGGGAAAAAATTGAGGATACTCACATAGGTAACTACAATGCTGCCCTGAGCACAAGCCAGGGCCAGGAACAGAAAGGGGGCAGATCCCAGCAATCCAGCTGCACAGACCAAGGGGTCAGCCCTGGGGTTGGTGCGGCGAAGACGGCGGCTGATCTCTACCCCAGAGGCCACACCCAGAATCCCAGTCACGCAAGTGATCAGCCCAAAGATGAGACTGGGAAGGAGAAAAAAAGAGGAAGACTGAGGGAAGCAAGGGGCCCAAGACCCACCATGTCAGTGTAAAAGGCCTCTCTCTGCTTTACAAAGTTCAGTATCCTTCTCCTCCTAGCAGAACTGGGCCCAAAGGCTGAGACGCTGCTGACACCAGGTATGAACAAGAACTCCTACCCTGGCCTGTACCAGCTTCTGGAAACTGGCTCCTCCCTGGACCTAGGCCAGGAGGCCCCTGGCTTTTGGCTCCAGGACTTTTATCTTTCACTAACAAATGTCATCTCTATAGGCTTAAGAGCCTGACCCTATGAAATGGGCAGTTCATCTTCATTCTATAGAGGAGGACACTCAGGCTAGAAAAAGTGACTGGCCAAAGGTCCCATGAAAAATATCTGAAAAGATGTTCTGGAACTCAGTTGTTCCAAATCCATGTTTCCTTCCACTCCCTCATAATGGCCTCCTACTTTCTGAACCTTCAATATTCTCAAACCCCAGCTGCATTTCTCACTTGGCTCCCTGGGCTCAAAGAACTGTAATAGCTTGTCCCTAAATACTTCCTTCTTTGGCCACTGTGAGTGGAGGCCTGAATCTGGCACCTACTCCTTCTTGTCCCTTTTTACCCAACTGCCACACACATATCAGCCCACAAAATACAGAGGAAGGAAGAAGGACCATTTATCCTGCCAAGTTGCTGACCCACTGAGGAAAAACATGAACCCAGAGGCCCTTTCCATAACCCCTCCCCACTCTGAGAAGCCTTCCCAGTACCTGTCTGAAGAGGAGCAGGAGTCTCCAGGGAGGCAAGGTGGGGTCTCTCCTAAGACTACGCGAGCACGGAGCAGGAAAGCTGGTGCCCACAGCGCCAGGGACCCCCCGTGACAAAAGCCACAGCTGTGAATCCCAAGGAAGAGAGCACAAAACTGGGACTGTAGCAAAAGGGACAAGGTCAGAATTCAGAACAGTCATCTCCTATCCCACAACAACACTCGGGGCAAGGGCAAAAGTTAATTTAGGGGAGTGAGAGAGAAGGAAAGGATGGTAAAAGCTGGCAGGAGACCATTTGGTACAAGTGACATTCACCCTCATAAGGCAAGGAGACATAAGATGAAGTTGTTAATCCCACCCCCCCGCCCCCCATACCTGGACTGCAACTTAGTTATCCAGTCACCAGATGGAGGAGGGTATTAAGGTTTTATGGCTCATGGTTCCTAGAGGTGAGAGTCAAAGTCCACACAGGATGAACTCCCACTTCATTTCATAAGAAGTGTAACAGATCCTCCTTAAAGGACTAAAGAAGTCCATGGGTATGAGTCAAGGGTTATACAAAAATCTTTGGGACTCACTTCCGAGCCAGAGCCCGCACATCTGCCCACCAAGAGGTGGGGTTCAAGGGAGGGGTGTCTGAATGGCGCTCCACAGCTCCACGAGGCGGCTCCCTCACCACCAGAAACAGCAGCAACACTGCTATCATCCCAAGGCCTGGGGTGACCTAAGGAGAGAGAACAGTCCCCTTAACCTCAGGAACAACTGGAGGCTGGAGAACACAACACACACACACACACACACACACACACACACACACACACACACACATCCTATTTGAAAGAGGGCCAAAGGTGCGTAAGAGGCTCAGGAAGACTCACCCTGAGTGCCCAGTGCCAATCGCCAGCCACATCTTTCACTTTTGATCCTGCGATATAACCCAGACCACTGGAAAAATGATTATAGGATTCAGGTTAGAGGATGCGCCTCTAACAGAAGGTTCTCCTCTCCCCAGATGAGGCTGGTACCTCCTCCCAGGCTAGTCTTCTGTCTCTCGTTCTCCGGGCCAGAAAGCCCTTCTCCCAGCCTGAAGACAGAGCCCTAGTTCCTCCTACTTCCTCTCCCCATGATCTCACCTGCCCACAGGGATGGCAAAGTAGAAGACACTAAGCATTCGACTTCGCTGATCAGCTACAAAGAGGTCGGCAATGAGGGTGGGGGCAATAGTAGAATAACTGGCCTCCCCAACCCCTACCAGGCCCCGGGTAAAGAGAAGCAGCCAAAATCTCTAGAAAAAGAATTAAAAAAACAAAATCGGACATCCTCCACCTCAGAGAGTTTCACAGACCCTTTACTGACCTCCCTGGCTCGCCAAGCTTTTTGGCAAAACAAAACGAACCAAATCTACCTGAAATGCTGACTTAGGAAGTTATCTACAAAGAAATGACTGCTGAAACCACCTAAGCAGTTCAGTTCTCTAGGGGACAGAACACAGAGAGAAGAAAAAAGAGTCAAGGACAAAGCCTTGGGGAAAGCCTACATTTATGGGGTGGGCAGAGGAACCAAACAAACGAAAACCAAACAAAAGAAAACAAAACAGAGGTTAAGAGTGGGAGAGAATGAATGCCCCTATAACCTGGAGGTTCTCAGGTAAAAGAGCAAACAGGGACAAAGACAAAGCTACTGAAGTGATATGTCAGTTTGTTGTAGTTGTGTCCCATAACAGATCACCGGTAAATGCATTTTAAGAGTGGGGCCAGAACCATGAGACGCTTGTTCACCTCTCTAGGGATGAATGAAGAACCCAGAGTCACCAATGACCAGAAGGCAATGCCACCACACATGAGGTACTTCCTGTTATATCTGTCACCCAGGTAGCCAAATACAGGGGCCAGCACCATGTAACTGGAAATAAACACTGGAGAAGAGACAGAAGGATTAAACCCTCCCATCAGAATCCCCTGTCTCCCCAACCAAATAACCCATAACCCTGAAGAGGCACATAGGGGAAAAAAATTTCTCAGACTTCAGGACATTCCTCTTCACACTGAAAGCAGCTTATCCCAGGGACAAAACCCTACTCACCAGTTTGGATGAGGCCAGAGCTGCTGTCACCAATACCAAAGAACTGCTCAATGTCTGGAAGAACGCCTGGAAAACAGTTCAGTGGAAGAGAAGGTGGTGAGGAAAGGAAAATATCTTTCAAATCGAGCTTATCTCTCTCTTTTTACCGGCAATGGAGTCACCTCCAAGAGCCTCTGGTCTTTTCTTGGTTGCCTCAAAATTCAATTCAATATTTATTAAGCACCATTATGTGCAAAATGTTCAGGATACAAAACCACAAATTAAATAGTCTCTGCCTTCAAGGATGGGTGACACAGATGGATAGGTGACACAGTGGATAGAGTACCTGACCTGAAGTCGGGAAGACTTATCTTCCTGAGTTCAAATCTGGCCTCAAACACTTACTAGCTGTGTGACCCTGGGTTAAGTCATTTAAACCCTGTTTGTTTCAGTTCCTCATTTGTAAAATGAGCTAGAGAACTACCTGGCAAAGCACTCCAGTATTTTTGCCAAGAAAACCCCAAAATGGGATCATGAAGAGCCAGACATTACTGAAAAAAATGACTAAACAAACAACCACTACCTTCAAAATGCTGACACAAAAGTCCTTCCAAATTAATTACCTGCCACGGTAAAACGGTCCATGTAGTTAAGAAGGTTGATATAACAAAGTACACCCACAATCAAAGTTGCATGTCCAGGAGAGATGCCTGTTATCAGCTGTAGCCCTTCCCCATCTGGGTCTTCTCTATCCTGTGGCTCTGGCCCCCCCAAACTTGCAGTCTTGCCAGCACCAGGGGTTGGGGCCCCCATTCCTTCTTCTGTATCATCTGCTTGGCTGAGAAATGGGGCAGTGTCTGGCTGACCCAGCAGCCCAGACATAGCTGCCCCTCAGCCAGTTCTCTCTGTGGTTACTTGTCCCTCACACTTTCAGACCCAGCCAATTTAACCTGGAGGAAAGAGGAATACACATTCACCATGAAGAAGATACAAAGTAGGAATTTAAAGGTGCCTTGGAAATTAAATCTAACTCCTTTTTAAAATCTCTACCGGCTCTAAATTGTTGATCCTGTGATTTTTACAAAGAAAGATACTGAGGCCCAATGACAATAAGTGACTTGCCTAATCTTATAAAGAAGATAAATCAAGGCACAAGGGCTAGAACTCTGATTCCCTGATTCTTAGCTCACAACTCCTAACAGGCCTTCATAAGAAAAATGACACATAGTCCCTAATGGGTGTGAAAAAGACCCAAGGAAAATGCCTGTTTACATTCAATGGGCTTGTTTTATATGTGGTTTTTGTTTATCCTCACAACCGTAAGAGGTGGTATCATTATGCCCATCTTACAAGTGAAAAAATAAGAAACCGAAAGAATTCACACTATTTTGAGTCCGGTCCCCCCAGTCTGCAAGGCCTGGCCTCCACCGCGGTCCGGCCTTCGGCCTCCTGGGCCCCTCCCACATGACCTGGGAAGGTACACACAAAACATATCCACGTGGTTGCTACGACCCCGCCGGGGAAGCAGAGAAGGCGAGCCCGGTGCCATGGGAAGGGCTAGTGCTGGGGGTGCAGGCGTGTGCACCAAAGCCCAGATACCGAGAGGGCAGGAAAGAGGGGCCCGAGCAGGAAGAAGGAACCCAAGGAGGCCAAGTTTACATGGGGAGGAAAGGGGCGGGGAATACGGCTCCGTGACCCACCCCAGCGCACGGGGCAGCGGCGCTCCAAGCCGCCTTTTCCTTTGGTCCAGGGAGCTCCTCTTACCCCAAATGGTGCACGATTCCCGGCACCCACCGGCTCTACAGCCACTGCTACCCTACAGCGCTCAGGCACCGAACAGCACCGCGGCCACCGCCATGACAGCTACACGAAGATCATGTGACCCAGGGGGCCGTGGGCGAGCCGGCGAACCTGATCGGGAGGTCATGTGACAGGCTCATGCCCTGAACACGTGACGAGGCAAGTTACACGTTACTATGGCAATAAGGGGACTGCTCTCCAACCTTCCCCTAAACCTATCCCGAGGCCTCCACCGCCCCCCCAGAGCCAGGTGGCGGCGGCTCCCGGCCCCGAAAAGCAGCGAGCTGCGATGTCGTGGCTCTCTTCAGGATCCAGGATGGGCCTAATACACGCTTGACGCCAGACGAGTCCTTCGGCCTCTGGAGACGTTGCCACGGTGGCCTCAAAGACCCCTCCAGCTCCCGATCTAAGCTCGTAGGATCCGATAGACCCTGCCGGGGGCGGCCGCCCACGACCCTTTTCTAACGTGAAGAGCACCGGCTGCACAGGCTGTGGGATGATGGGTACCATCCCACACCCCGAGGGCGCCGAAGTTGGAACAGAAGTTTCCTGTGTCGGGTTCACGGGCGCCCCCTCGCGGCCGCAGGGGAAAACCACGTGGGGAAGGAGTTCGGGAAAGGTCTGAACCCTCCTAATTCTTGTAGCCTGCCTGCTTTAGCTCCCAACATTCCCTGCACCCACAAGTGTCCCCTTCACCCCCACCTGTTGAAATGTTACCCACCTTTTAAAGCCCAAATAAAATACCAAATGCCACCATGATCTTTGATAGTCCCAGGCAATGATGATCCACCCCTTGGCCAAGTACTTGACATACAACTTACGTTTTCATCTATCTTGTGTAGTTACTACATATAATTTATCTTGTAGTTATTTGTGCTGATATAATATAGCAAAATCCTACTCTGATGGCTCAGGGAGTAACTAGCTTCTCTAAGCTTCTCTTTGGCAGCATGGAACGAGCCCTTGGCAGCTCCTACAAAGCTAGAAAGGCTTTGATTAAAGGCCCAGCCACTAATGGTTGACCAAAGACTGACCCATCTAGCTAAGAAAGGCTCATCCTTCGGCTGGCTACAGGTTGATGAAGTTTTCAGTCACAGTAATTCCAGGAGATCTTTTAAATCTCAGGAACTGTATGTTGTGGAACTGTACCCAAACCAATAAAACCATAGTTGTTGAAATATTGATTAAAGAGAATGTGTCACTACCCACTAAATTCTGAGCTTCATGAGGGCATGAACCATGTCATATTTAATCTTCCCATTCCTCTCCCCAGATCACCACCAGTGCCCAGCCCAACACTGAAAAGAGATGTGAGGTGTGCTTGGGGAGTCACTGCATGGGGGTGAGAGAGGTGTCATAAGCAACAGGATGACTCTCCCACCACAAAAGACTGCATTCAACAAGCCAACTCAACTCCATCCAGAGTAATGAACCATCTGGAACTTTAACGCTCTTCTCACCTGCCCCTAAATGTCATTAAACCCAAGACCTAACCAAGTGACCTGGCTTTGACTCTTCCTGTCCCCCATCCCACCAATGAGGCAAAAACCTTGGAGGAATTCGAGTTCAAATCCAGAATCCAAACTACATCATTCGTTTTATTTTAACTCCAGTTACAAAAATGACTGGTTTCCTGGAAAGATATTTGGAAACAAGAGGTCTGCAATATATCTTCACAACCCAAGATCCAAAAGAATTAGTGTCTAGAGATAGAGATCAAAAGACACATTTACATATATACAGGGTAACTGGGACTCAACAAATCCTTCAGCTAGCAGAAGGGGACTAGGATGCACTCATAGAAACTGACAAGAGAAAATGCTAGGGCAGCAGCACCACACCCAGGACACCCATGAAAGAAGGGTGAAGGGTAAATGATGACAAGGGAAAAGGGGGGGAAGGGAAAGGCAGGCATTCTCTTTGATTTTTAAGGCGCCCCAGCTTCACGTTTCATGGTCTGAAGGCAGGGGAGGAGGCAGAAGGCAGAACACCCTTCAACCCCTAACCTCAATTAGGTCTTCTTGTTCCATGCCTAACTCTGCTGGGGTCCCTTGGCCAGAAAGCTTCTCACCATCAAAAAAGAAAGAGAGCTTATGTCCTTTGAGTCCCATGGCCTCTGCATAGTGAGACATCAGTGTTCTAAGAGGAGCACCCTAAAGGAAGAAAGTGTCATAAGCCAGAAAGGAAGGATTGTGGGGATCTGAGTAGAGAGGTGATACAGAATTTTTGGTGGGAGTGGAATAACAATAAATGTCACTGACATATGGAGGAGGTCTTCTACAACATACTTTCTCTCTCTGGGCCTCAGTTTCCTCCTCTGTAATGAAGGGCATTAACCATAACCCAGAATAAAATTTATTTTAAGAGAAATGTTATTAAATAAAAAACATCAAATATCTGTGCATTAACTTATCTCAGTATACAAGAGACAGGTACAAAGACAACCCCCAAAGTATTTTTTATGGAAAATGGTTAGGTGGAGCAAATATAGCACAAGTTCTCAAACTACCAGATAGATTTAATATAATACTAATCAAAATACCTCTAGGTTATTTCATAGATTATATCATCAGAACAAAATTTATATGGTAGAACCAACAAATTAAGAATATCCAAAATTACGATAAAGAAAACTGATGACAGGGAATTAGCACTACCAGATCTCCAAATGTAAAGCAGTAACTTACAAAACTGGGACTGGAAAAAAAATAGAACAAAAGATCAGAATAAAGAACCCAACACACATAGGTTTTTTAAAAAAGAGGGTTAAATTAGCTAACCTCTAAGCTTTCTTCCAGTTTCAACCTTCTATGATTAGGTAAAGTAGAAAGCCCTGAAGGCAGAAGAGAGGAAGGCAAGATTTTCAGCCACAGAAAGATTCTTCCTTTTCTCTTTTTAAGACAAAATTAAAGTTGAAAAGGACAAAGTAAAGATGATCCAGGAGACAGCCTCTGGGTGTCTTTATCAGAAAGGATTCAGTCTCAGAGTAGTAGATGTCAGTAAGGATGCTGAGTGGATGGGAACGAAGATTTCCATCCCCAGAGCTCCATTCCCCACTTACCCGGGGCACAGTGACCTCCAGAACCTGGTGTTTCTCTTGCCCCTGAACCCTGAGCCGAAGTTCCTCACCCGATTCTGACTCTTTGGAAGGCTCAGGAGTACTGGACAGGACCACACAATCTTGTAAGGGAGAGGGAAGAAAGTAGAGGGACTTAGCAGGCAGCTTGGGTTTTCCACAGGCTTTCATGCTTTACCATGATTCAGCTCCACAGCCACCTGCACTCACCAATGATGTCAGCCACTCCAATCTTCAGAGAGCTGAGGGTGGCAGTAGGGGAAATTTCTACTTCTCGGAACAGCAGAAGAATTCGGGCAGGGGACACTCCTAGGCGAGATGCCATGTGATCCACAACGACCTGCAAGGGCTCGGCCTGGAAAAAAAAAAAGAGTAAAGTATAGGAAATGGGTTCATGCCCAACCTCACAATGCACCCAGAATTCATAACTAATGACCAACCTTCCTGTCCCCTGAACTGAGGACCAAGGATATCTGGCCTGCTACTCGGCCCTATGTTTCCCCAAATTAACACATTATACTTGTCCCCAAGTTCTCACCGTGCTGAGAGGCAATCTGACAAGGTCAGCCCGGCACCTCACTTTAAGAGTTAAGAGTCGGGGGCTCTCCCTAACATTGTTCTCTTCCACCAAGATCACGTCATCCTCAGAGTTCTCAGAAACATGGTCTTTGGGTGACAGGGAACTCAGGTAAGACCGGAGATTTTGCAAGCGCTTATTCACCTCCCTGTAGGGTCAGAAAAAAGAGGGCAAGGACTCACCCACCCACCCATTAAGCACCAACTATTCTCAATTCAGTGAATCTCAATAGGTCCTCCAAAACAGCTGCCATCCAACCTCTACTACCAATGGAGGGATAAACTTCACCTTATCTTTGCAAAGGCTCTTGGTGGTCTCCTGGATGGCCCACGTCGCCTGGGAGGGGGAGAAGGGGAAGAGGAACTGTCCCGCACCCTGAAGAGAATATATATAAAAGAAAATGGGTAGTAGACCCCAGAGCAGTCAATGACAAAGAGAAACAGGTCCCAGTTCCTTTTAGATCCTGGTACCCAGGTCTGGTCATGAAAATTTCCCCAAACCCAGATATTCCATTGTATCCTTCTATCCCTTCCACCCCTCCCTAGGTCCCAGGCAACCTGCCAACCACTGACTGTCAACACCAAACACTTTCCTGTTCCTATAAGTATTCTGCATACTCACAAAAAATGCTTCTCTTTTTCATCATTTGCTTTTGGATTCTTTTCTGAAGAAGAAACTGGCAAAACGACAGCCTCAGAAAGGGACTGATCAGAATCCAAATCCACAGCTGGGAGAAAAGGAAGGGGAAACCACAGGTAAGACAGAGATGAAATCTGGAGAGGCAAAATGAAGGCTTCCAGAAGGCCCAAAGCAGTGAGATCCCATGCTGCTTCCAGCAACTGAAGGCTGCTTCCACCATGTCCCTCCTGATAGCTGCCCCAACTCAACATCGTGGGTTTTTTTGTTTTGGTTTGGTTTTTAGTGAGGCACTTGGGGTTAAGTGACTTGCCCAGGGTCACACAACTAGTAAGTTTTACATGTGTGTTATGTGTCTCAGGCCAGATTTGAACTCAGGTGCTCCTGACTTCAGGGCCGGTGCTTTATCCACTTCGCCACCTGGCTGTCCCTCCAACGTCATGGTTTTAAACCACTTCTCTCAACTACAAAGGACGCCCTAACTCTGCCTGTCTTGCATTCTTCTCCCACTCCTAACCAACTTGGACTTCCTATGACAAATTACAAGATGTGCTCATTCCTCTGCCTTCTACTCCTACTTCTCTTATTCCCCCAAATATGTCTTATTCAGTTGAAAAATGATTACAATGAATACCAGTTTGCAGCCTAAAGGTTGTGTGTAGGAGCTGTACTACCTGATTTGCCTTCAAAGGTTCAGGAGCAGATTCTACAATTTTAAAATAAAGCTGAAAAATTAAGGAGCTGGACCATTAGTGGAGCTATGAATTGGTCTGACTATTCTAGAAAGCAATTTGGAATTATATTTTTAAAATGACTAAAATGTCCACACTCTTTAACCCAGAGTTGCCTGCTCAGCATAACTCCAAAGAAGTCACATAGACAGACAAGTCCCATATACATTAAAATACTAATAGTAGCACTCTTTGTGGCAGCAAAGAAGGGGAAGTTAAAGAGATATTCATGTAGTACATGAAAGTAATAAAGTATTACTATATCATACGAAGTGATGAAGAATTCTGAGAAGCATAGGAAGAACTCATGCAGAATGAAGTAGGACATATATATAACAATATAAATATATATAAAACAATAAATGATCAGCATATATGGTGCTGACCGGTTTTGTATTTGCACTGGTTCAGCCTTCTCAGAACCAACTTGAGGGTGTGTAAAGGGTAAGATTACAGATATCAAGGCAGGCTGTACTGGTTTCATCATGAAGAGAACCTCCTCTATACAGATTTCAGGTAGGTACCTAGATTATTAGAGGATTTTGGATATGGAGGTGCCTTTCCAGAAATATATATGGCCCAATACCCATTAGATATGGAAAGAAAGAAAAAAAAATCAAATGCCTTGGCCACTCAGGTAGGTGTAGAGAGGAAAGTTAATTACAATGCAATTGCTCAACAGACAATTAGAAGACATTTAAAGCAAGTATAACAACCTGGTTCCCAAAGAAGTTGTGAATGTAGATGACCCAGACCAGCAAAGACACAATGAAGAAACCATTAAAGAGATAATAGTAGAAATGGGAGCCCTGCAGAGATCTATGTCTCAGAAGATATGCCAATTCAAGCAGCAGATAAACTAGCCCCAGCTCAGTACATGAGGTACACACTGTCTCAGCAAGAAGTGGCTTTCAACTTTGGAGCTAAGCAAAGAGTTATGCAGATGGGGGAATTGCAAAAAAGATCCGATGGAACCTCCAAGATTCAAAATAAAAAAAATTCCTGACTGATCTCCTCCTCCTGCAGCTGTCATACATTCTCCTAGACAAAAGATGGCTGTAAAGAAACAGAAGTGGAAAATTTCTCCCTGTATTTAAGACTGAAAAATGCAAAGGGTTACAACATTCCATCACACAAATGTCTGGCTGCTGATAGGGAGAGGACTGCAGACAGCTCATATTAATGAAACATTTGCCAAAGTTGCCGAAGCTCTCTACATTGCCAACAGAAAGGCTCGAGAAGCAGTGGAGATGCAAAGGCAAGTGGGGGAAAGATGCTATAAAAGGAAAAGGAGAAACATGAAGTTTCAACAAAAGCTCAGGAAGCTATGCAGAGAAGAACTGAGGGTGGGGAAGCTCAGGAACAAGGTGAACTGGGACAAGATAGATATGATAGCAATCCTTCCAAGGCAGCTCCTCATAAGGGACCAAAACTACAGAGAAGTGAGACTTGAGACATCAGTGAAGTCACTGCCTTCGGACTTACAAAGAAGCTCAGTAGGATCAGAGGCTCTTCAACCAGACCAAGTGTATGAGCCAGTAATTTTGCTGGTGGAGAGGACGTAATTTATAACATTTATGATTAAGCACGGAGAAGTGGAAAAGATGCATGGCCCAAAATATCTACACTTAGAAAAATCTGGACAAAGATATGAATAGTGAGGCCTGAATAAAGACCTAAAGAATTGTACCCAATAAGGAGTTTTCTGGCTCAGATTGTAGATATCAAAGCTGAGAAGGAACATCACTTTGGTCTGGACAAGTTTTTGAAAGAAGCCAAATAGCAAGGAAGACCTAGAAGAAGCTCAGATAACAGGTGCCCAAAGGAACACACGAACATGAAGGCAAGAAGAGGAATCCCAGAACACCAGTAAGTCCCCTGAATATTTAAGTTTGTCTTAACTACTGTTTCGAGTAAAGTTCAATAAAAGATACACCGAGGCATGTCCTCTCTGAGCAAGATAAGAGTTATAAGTAGGGTGCCAAACCTATTAATAAAGGGGTCAATGACTTGCATTGGTTTCTAGCTAAATACAAAGAATTGGAGACACAACTCCTTTTTATAAGCATAGAAAAAAGAACAGAGTAGGTGAGGAAATTATGCCATTGGCTATGGAGTTGGCAACATCACGGGGCGGTTAAGAGATTACGACTGGTTATATTAAGGAAAGCGGGCACACATACTCACACAGAGAGGGGATCAGGGCCACCCCTCTGTCTTGAAGGCATGCTTTACTAATTTATGGGACCCAGCTGTATGCCTGGGCCATAAAGAATGGACTAGGAGTAGCAGACTCACAGGCACCTGAGAATGAGATAGGACCACTTTTAACTGGACACGGATGAGGCTAAGATGGGGCCAGGTGAGTTTGCATGCTCTCAAGGATATGTCCTTGGTGTTCTTAGGAGCTGAAGTTATGGGAGATAACAAGTTTCCTTGGCACAAAGTAATGCTTTGCAGGTGGTGCTGAGATAACAATTGCCTTAGAATTAGAATGCTTCATGAATATTGAATCTCTAAACATAGCTCAGAGTTTTTCTTTAATTAACAGTGACTGTTAAAACTTAAACCTTTGCATCAAACTTCAGAGAGGGAGGCTGAACTTTTGAACTCATGAATTTCTACACTCAGAAACAGAGAAAAGAAATTAGATTGCTATATGAAATACAAACTAAAGTTACAGAATAGGATCAATTACAGGATGAAATCAAATATAAAATCAATGCTTGCTTCTTTCACTACCTCCAACTGGAAAACAAGAGATGAAAAATGCCAATTCCCTGACTAATGTGGCTGCATTGATGACCCAGAGTTCATCCAATAGTGCATATATATTAGATAATACACCACAAATGGACACTGCGAGTGGGTCCAGAATTGAACAAGGGGAGAATGGCTTGGATTTGCCTTCTGTGAAGAAGCTTCAATAACCCTACCCTAAAAAGATAAAGATTTGTCGCCATTAGTGACATTCAAAAGATGGTACCACAGACTCAGAAGGCAATCCCCGAAGAGTAACATCAAACATTCACTCCACACTCACGATCCCTGTGACCATGTGTCATCATTTTTCACCTTGGCTATGCTCTGTCCTGCTGCTGCTCTATCACCCACCAAATCAGACCTCCAGAGACCATGCCTAGCATAAGCTACTCAACTCCCTGGGGTCATGCATTCTTAGACTGCACCACTAGTTTATAAACTCCTTGAGGGGTTTGGCTTCTTTTTGTATCCTCAGGACCTGGCAAGTCGCAGGCACTTAATTACTGATCGATTGATTTTAATTTTTACCCTAACCATTTTCCGGTCAGTAGTCAAATCAACACTACCAATGAAATGGCACGTCAATGGAGGGCCACTCACTATCCCCATGACTTCCCATCCTTTCCTAGCTACTCTATTAGTCCCCTCTTAGAATGTAAGCTCCTTAAGAGCAGTGATGTCTTGTTTTTTGTATCTCTGGCATGGGGTTGTGGATACAGCCAGCCTCAAAGCCAGAAAGACCTGGGTTCAAGGCTCACCTCTCTGATGATGTGCCAGTCATTTAACTCAGTGCTCTAAGCCACTCCCTAAAACTGTAAATCATAGCAAAAGTGCTGATCTGTATTGGGAGAGGGAGTTTCCTCATCTCAGGGTTCCCTACAATAATGAAGTCACAGGTCCAGTCCCTATCCTTATGCCTGTGTCCAGTGCTAATAAACACAAATATTAAGTATTTCAATTAGGTGCCAAATCTGGTTGTTTCTTCCTACAGATCTCTCACACGTGTCCCCTTCTACCCACTTACACAGATCCCACAGTAGTTCAGTGCCCCATTATCTCTTACCTTGACAATTGCAATCTCCTCCTATTTGGTCTCCCTGCTTCAAGTCTCTCCCCCCAGTTGCCAAAGTAATTTTCCTAAGTGACCACGTCACTCCTCTAACTCAATAAACTCAAGTGGTTCCCTGTCACCTCTAAGATCAAATATAAATTCCTGTGCTTGGCATTCAATGCTCTTTGTAAGCTGGCTTACATACTTACCCAGCCTCACTACACATTACTAACCTTCATATCTTCTCTACCAGCCTTTTTAGTGCTCTTCATACAAGACACTCCATCTCCAGATTCTAGGTCTTCACCTTGGAAAATTCACTCCCTCCTTATCTCTGCCTCCTAAACTCCCTAGTTTCTTTCAAAACTCAGCTCATGTCCCATCTTCTATATTAAGTCATGCCTGATTCCCCCAACTGTTAATGCTTTCCCCCCCACAGAATTACTGAATATCTACTTTACGCATGTCTATATATTATGTCTCTTCCCATAGAATCCAAAATCCTTGAGGGAACTATTTCACTTTCTCTTTGTATCCTAACACTTAGCACGGTCTGTCATTTTAATTTATTTATTTTATTGTATCTATCCTTGGAATAAGTATACGGTCTCCCAATGGAACCAACTATACCAGGTCACTGATTTGGAGGTGTGAGTTCTGGCATATTTGTTAATCAATTTCATTACATATTTGGGTATGTGTTTAGAAAGATATAGCTTTATAGATAGCTATCTACAGATCAGGATCCACCTCTCCTCCTTAAAAAAAAATATCCAGGCACTACTTCTTTCTCTCTTGTCCTACACCTCTCACCCCACTCAAGGCCAACTCTGTCTTTTAAAATAACAAACTCCAGGAGGGGCAGCTAGGTGGTGCAGTGGATAGAGCACCGGCCTGAAGTCAGGAGGACCTGAGTTCAACGCCGGCCTCAGACCAAACACTTGACACTTACTAGCTGTGTGACCCTGGGCAAGTCACTTAACCCCAATTGCAAAAAAAAACCCAAACCCAATAAACTCCAGAGAGAATGCCACCTCCAAGGCACACTAGCACACTGTTTGGTAGAGCTGTGAATTGATCCAGCCATTCTGGAAAGAAATTCAAAATTAAGTCCAAAAAATTACCAAACTATACATACTCTTTGACTCAGGTATACCATTAATAGGCTTCAGAGAAAAGGATCTACATTTACAAAAGTTTCTGTAGCATTTTTCTTGGCAGTCCAAAGTTAGAAACTGAGGTGTCTAATTAGGGAATGGCTAAATGATTTGTGGCATATAACACATAAATATTAATGCGATATTAGAAACCATGCAATGGGCAATTTTAGAGGAAACTGGGAGACCTTCATAAACACTGATAAAGATCAAATAATAAACTAAAAAAAGAGGACATCCTGTCTATCATCAGTTAGTCAATAAACATTTATTAAGAACCTATTATATGTTTGGCACTGTGATAAGCACCGAGGATACAAAAGCCAGGCAAAAGACAGTTCCTGCCCTCAAGGAGCTTACAATCTAATAAGGGAGATAACAAATATGTATGAATAAGCTTCACAGAATAAACAGTAGAGATAGATAAATAATAAGCATCAGAGGGAAGGCACTAAAATTAAGAGGGGTTAGGGAAGGCTTCCCAGTGCTGTAGGGCACCCGGTGACCATTTGCTTGAGCTGCAGCTGGCCGGCCTGGCCTCTCTACCTCCCCAAACCCCCATCTCACCTTCCCCGCTAGGGCTTCCGGTGAACAGTGGCTGCCTAAGATCCGTGGGAAAGAAGCGGAGACTGCTCTTCACCTACAGACCGGTAGGGGGCAAGGGGAGCAGGTCGGTCACCTGGACTGCGGCGCCCACCCATCCGGCCACAGCATCCCCCAGTCCCCATTCCATCTGTTCCCAGCCTATCCATCCCTCCCTCCCTCCCCTCCCTCCTCGCTCCATCCAGGAGGCTCCCCTTCCATACCTTCCTGAGGACGCGGGTACCTGGTCCCCTCCCTTCCCTCCAGCTCCCCCACGGCTCCCACCTTGCCCGAATATACGGGGACCACGGGGGCCTCCCCTGCCCCCAGCAGAAGGCGCCGCCGCCGCGGGGCAGGGGGCCGAAGCCGCAGCCGCTCCGCAGCCCCGGCCCCTTCCTCCTCACTGTCGCTGTCGCTATCGCTGTCGCGGTGGCGGCAGCGGCCTCCACCTCTAGAATAAGCCGGGCCCTGGCCGCCGGTGGCACCGCTCGCGCCAGCCTCCCCCTCGCTGCCGCTGTCGCTGACCAGGTCCACCACTTCGGAATCCTACGGACATAAGAGCTACGGTCTCAGTGGCCCTCAGGGCTCGACAGTCCGGACCGCCTCCACAGCCTCTAGCTCACCCCCTCACCTCGGCCCCACGACCCCAGCTCACCAGCGCGGCCATGGCGCCCACCCCACATCAATCAAATCTACAGGCCGATGGAGCTGCTAGTCAGCGCCGGGCCCGCCCCTCCCCAGCTCTTCTGCTCCTCATTGGTCACAGTCTGCTCCCGCTGGTAGCGTTCCCCACCCCCTCGGCCTACCCTTGCCTCCACGGGCTTTGCGAACAAAGATTGGTCGAAGTTCATTCCAAATACATCCGCGACCTTCTTTTCCCGCCTCCGCGTCGGGCTCTGAGCTCGAGGATTGGCTCGGCTGCCGCTCTTTCCCCTTTAAGCCTTCTTCCCGGTCTCGCAATAGGGCCTCTCCAGCGAATCATTCCCTTTCCAGTCACCAGCCTCCTGGTGATTTGTTAAAGCGACATCCCGCCACCCCCCCACGCTACTCCCAAGATCGGCCCGAGGCTTCCTGGGAATTGTAGTTTTTGAGCAAGACTGAGGCAGGAAGGGTGGCCCGCTAAGCTCCGGCGTGGTCCGAGTGAGCTCGGCTCCTGCTGGTGGGGAAGTTATCACACTTCACACCTTATCACACACCAGGCACACCTTAATTGGACCCAACAGACACAGAATAAACATCCCTTTTTAGACCAAATGAGATAATAAGTAAGTCAAGCGCTTTGCAAATTTTAAAGCGCTATAGAAATGCTACCGTTCTTTTTTTTTTTTAATGTATGTATCCGCAGAGCCTAACGTGGTGCTTGGCTTATACTAGATGCTTATCGATTGAACTCACATACATACCCAACGCACCCCAAACAAAACACCTTAGACACAATGTCGTGTATCTTATACTACCGTCCCCAACAAAATGTGCTTTTCATAGTATGTACTACACACTTCATATCAGTACATACACCCTTCAAACATAATGGCCACACGTCCCTGGAGCTGGTTCATTAGTGCTCTGTTTAGAGAGCATGGACTGCCCTGAAACTCCTTCAGTAACATAGAATAATTAGTTAAAATAAAGAACCTTTAGGTAGGGGGTGGAGGGAGGGCTTGCCTGGCATCTCTTCCCTCCTCCTTGGTAGAGTCTTAGGATTTTAAACACACACAAGCACACGTTGAATTTGACTTTAAAAGCTGATTTAAAGACGCATTTTGTCCTTTGCTCTCCAGAGTATTTTGTGTTGATTACCAATACCAAAATTGCTAGTTAGGATCTGCATACACACATATTTGACACGTGCCTACATGTAATATATCCACCAGAACAAGTGAACCCCAATGCTGACAGCTAAGGTTGTCAGGCTAATCCCTTAACTGCGCCCTATAACCTCCCAGTAGGTGGGGCTATTTCTTTCTGAAAGAGAAATCCCAAAGTATATCAGTGGCCACGGGCAGCCGCCCACGCCCACACCCCTAACCTCATCCCCGAAACTGGTTCTTTGAGTGGCCACTCCTTGCACAGATTTACGTTACATTGTCACTGTGTCTAAATTTTTATATACTATATTAATTATAATATAATATATACATATAGATATACCAACTCAGAGTTCTGCTCACGTTTGGGATTTAATGTTTACTGAATTTATGGAAAAATCCAGTCTTGTATCTAGAAACCTGGGTCAGATTCTCTGTTCTGTTGTTTACTAGCAGTACAACCTGGGACAAAGGATTTTAAAGCTGTAATAGAGCTCAGAGATTATCTACTTCAAAGCCCACATTTTACTGATCAAACGAGAATATACAGAAAGTACCTTGCCACCGTTAAAGTCCTAAATGAATGTTTACTACTACCACTACTACTACTACTACTACTACTACTACTACTACTACTACTACTACTACTACTACTAATAATAATAATAATAATAATAATAATAATAATAATAATAATAATAGACATAGTGCAACCCTTGGAGTCAGGAATCAGGAAGACATGAGTTTAAATCCTGCCTCAGATGCTTGCTAGCTGTGTGAGCTTAGGCACAGCACAATCTCTTTCTGCCTCAGTTTCCTCATTTGCAAAATGGGTATAGATAATAATAACACAGACCTCCCAAGAGGTATTGTGATGATAAATGAAAAAAATGTTTATAAAGAGCTTTGTGAACCTTAAAATATTATGTAAATTGTTGTTGTTTTGTTGTTCAGTCATATCCAATTCTTTGTGATCTAGAGGACCAAACAATCTATGGCATTTTCTTGGCAAAGATACTGAAGTGGTTTGCCATTTCTTTCTCCCCTGGAGTAAGGCAAACATAGGTTAAGTGACTTGCTCAGGATCACAGTCTAGTCTTCTGACGTCAGGCCCAGTGCTGTAGCCACTGAGCCACCTAGCCACCTCATATAAATAGTGGTTATTACTACTTCCTGGAGTCTCAGATCTCATTTATGGAAACCCAAATCAGTTCTCATTCTCACTTAGTCTGGAGTCCTACAGAAGTTAGGATCAGATTTAGGGCAGGAACATTCTTTGTAATTCAGTGAAGTACCCCAGAGAAAGAATTGATGGTGTCTGAATATAGATTGAAACATATTTATTATTACTTTCTTTTTCTTTTTTTTCTTTTTCATTTTTGTGAGGCAATTGGAGTTAAGTGACTTGCCTAGAGTCACACAGCTAGTGAGGTGTTATGTGTCTGAGGTCACATTTGAACCCAGGTCTTCTTAACTCCAGGGCTAGTGCTCTATCCATTGCACCACCTAGCTGCACTTACTTTATTTTCTTGAGATTTTTTTTGTGTCTACGTTTTCTTTCACAACATAACTATTATAGATACGTTTTGCATGACTACTGTGAACCATTTTTGAGTCCCCTATCACCTGAGAAAGACTTAAAACCTGGTTTGGCCAGTCAGGAGAAAGACACCTTGGCCCACTCTGAGCTTAACCTATCATAATGCTTTGTGTGCTCTGGCATAACAGACATGCTTTGCTTTGTTCTCTAAGTGAACTCAAAATGCCCCTTCCTGTTTCAGCAACTATAAGGCCAGATGAAGCTGACCAGGAGCATTCTTCTGTTTATGACTACTGAGGACAAGGCACCTTGAACTGGACACTATCTTGAATAATGAGACTTTTCTTATCTTGGTATTATATGAACACATGCTATGCTATATTATGCTCTCTCTCTGTCTCTGTCTGTGTGTGTGTGTGTGTGTATATGTATGTATATATATGTATATATATGTGTGTGTATATATATGTGTATATATGTATATATGTATATATAATATGATAAAAGAAACACAGACATCCTGGATCTATAATTTCTTTGTTTTTTTGTTTTGTTTTGTTTTTCTTTTGCTTTCTTGACTAGGCAATGGGATAAGGTGACTTGGCCAAGGTCTTACAGCTTTTAAGTAAAATTTGAACTCGGGTCCTCCTGACTCCAGGGCCAGTGTTCTATCTATTTCCCCACCTAGCTGCCCCTGGGCTTATAATTTCAATTGACATCTCAACATTCTCTTATCTTATTGTATTCACAACCTATCCTATTAAGAAATTCCTTTCTCACACTATGGTTAAACACATATGGAGACTATAATTTTGGGTTGAGACAAGCATCCTGAGTTGGGGTTGCTCTAAGTGTATAAAGGGTCTCCTTTAGCATGTTTACCTCTGAGTTCAGAATAATTTTCTGACTCCATCATGCATGATTCTCTGGCTTAATGAGAATAAATAAGCACATTATAGAACATGTACAGCCTGATTCTGTTTGTTCCTTGTTCAAACCTCTGGTAAGGTGAACCTCATTCTGTTTGTTCTTGAACAAATCTTTGGTAAAGGGAGAACCCCATTCTGTTTGTTCTTTGGACAAACCTTCAGTTAAGGGGGAAACTGATTGTATCTTTGGACCAAACCTTTGGTAAATGGTTGACACTACAAATATATAACCTATGTCAAACTGCTTGCTTTATCAATGAGAGGGGTGGGGAGGGAGGAAGGGAGAGAATTTGGAATTCAAAAGTTTGAAAACAAATGTTAAAAATTGCTTTAAGTATAACTGGGGGAAGGGGGGCCGGATTTGCTAAGTAATTCAGTGAAGTATCCTTTTTTGTTGTCCTTGGACCATATTGAAATGAGAGAATGGATTAAGGAGGGAACATCTTTTTGAGTATGGAGATTATCCAGAGAGGTGATCCTTTTGTTCTTCCCAGGATCTGACCTTGGTTTTCTTTCCTGAAAGACTTCTCCTAGGGTGCATCTCCTAACATTGACATTTCTAGAGTTTCATTTGGTGAAAACCCTAAAAACTTAATTTTGTAACAGTTTTATCTCATTGTGGAATTTTACCTTTTGTTTTTTGAATACCATAAATTGTAGGTAGAAAAGGCTAGGGTTTCATCAGTAATATGTAATCTTTTTCTCAGACATTGAATAATAGTTTACCTCTATGTACTAACCATGCTGTTTACCGAAGGCAGCTAGGTGGGGCAATGAACTAGAGTCAGCATTCTTCTTAGCTTAGCATCAGGAAGACCTCAGTTTAAATATAGTCAGACATTTACTACCTGTGTGACCCAGGACAAGTCACTTAACCTCTGCCTGCCTCATTTTCCTCATCTGTAAACCAATCTCCCAGGGTTGAAGTGAGGATAAAATGCAAAGTGTTAACTCTATAAATGCTAGCTATTCAATGCGGGCCATCTCCAGTTGTCCTGATCTATATCTCGCCACTGGACCCAGATGGCTCTGGAGGAGAAAGTGAGGATGGTGACTTTGCACAGCTCTCCCTCACTTAAATCCAATTCATTTGCAAGTCATAGCATGACCTCCCTGAGGTCATGGTCCTCTTCAAGAATGAAGGACAAACAACAACCTGTGAGTAGTCCAAGCTGCCCCACTGGGGACCCAACTTCCAGTTGGGCAACACAGTTCCTTCCTCGTTCCTTCCTTCTTCCTCCCTCCCTGCCTTCCTTCCCTTCTCCCTTCTCTCTCTCTCTCTGTCTCCCTTCCTTCCCTTCCCTGTGGGTGTTCTGCCCAAAGGAATTATGGCACATGAATGTTATAGAATATTACATGGAATACATTACCTTAATGGAATACTTGAAATATCATCAAGATGCTAATTAACTCCATTTTGGATACTCAACAACTTCTCAACTCCTTCATCTTCCTTTCCCCTCTAATTAGAGGTCTCCAGAGTGAAGCACTCAATTCCTTCCAAAGCTTTCCTTTATAAAGGGCTTATGTCTGAGCTTTCCAGATACTTACTATCAGCATCTCTACCTGGTTTGACCTTCAAGGAATGTTGTGGGCCCCCACCTGGGGCCACAGGTACCACTCTTTTGGGTATTGTGTAACCCCATTAGATTGCAAGCTCCTTCAGGGAAGAACT